AACTGTTCCAATTATACACTTATTTTCACATAGCTATGAGAAGCATTAAACATGGCGCATGCGGTTTCTGTACTGTATTAAAGCTTTAATCAGGAGTAGCAATATTAAAAGCTAACATAAGCAGTAGCATTTACAACAGCATATCTAAAAGTATGATACAACAACAAACAAAAACATAGGCCTACCACTAAAAGCCATGCTTGCAGAGGTTCTGCACGATCCTCTTCAATAATATCCTCTGTTTACAATACAACTGGAGCACATGCCGCTGAGGTGAGGGGCGGGACGATTAGACGCGCACTAGAGGCGGTCTAGCCAATCACAACACATTGGGCTAGCTAACCAATCAGCGCAATTCCGCGCTCCTCACACTACCACCGACCGTGACAGAATTCCAGACCTAAAAGTGACAATAAGTGGGACCCCTTCTACCCGTGTTTGTTTTTCGTTTTTTGAAAAGTGTTTTTGTTTTGTTTTCCCGTTCGTTTCTCCCCGTCCAAATGGAGGAACGAGCGATGTTAATCGCCGTGGCTCAGGCGAACCCCGACCCGATTCTCTACACGAGGGCGTTCGTGCCGCTCGCCCTCGCCAGCTCCCTTGAGGGAGAAACCCTCCTGACGCTGTTCCGGATCAGGATAACCTACCATCGTCCCGAGGAGCTCCCAGACACCACCAACCTCGGCTGGAAGGAGGGAGTCATCCGGTGTCTGGAGAGCTTCCGATCCCGATCCCGATCCGGGACCCATCTGCCGGCCGTTCCCGAGTCAAGTAAGCTGGCCGTTCCTCAGGCAAGCCCGCCGGATGTTAATGTGGCAAGCCCTTCAGACGTTAATGTGGCAAGCCCGCCAGACAATAATATGGCAAGCCCATTGTACATTAATATGGCAAGCTCCTGAGGGGCACCCGCCCCCCCTCCCCGATGCGCCGTCCGGGAGGGGTGCGATCTGTCACGTGTATGTTCCCGTTGAGTTCCTGTTTTCCTTATTTGGTCCTTCCAGTTCCTTTTCACATTATTAGTATCACCTGTTCCTTGTTGTTAGTTATCCCCATCACCTGTCTGCCCCTCGTTATCTACCCTATTTAGTTCTAGCCCGTTCAGTTCTCCCTTTTCTGGTTTTGTATGTTGATGTCTTCTCCTCGTGCTACATGTGATTCCCTGTGACAAGAATAAATCCCTTTGTTTAGTACTCCTGGTCTCCTCATTCCTCGTTCCGCGCTCCTCACACTACCACCGACCGTGACACGATCTCATATTAGCAAAATATTTACAGCTTCGTTTTGTATGACATTTAGCCTATATGTAATAAGTTGCCTATATATATGGAATGCATATCATATTTCAGCATATTTTACTCTCTTTCACACATTTCAGTTTGGCAAGATAGTTTAGGAAAAGCCCAACTAGTAAAATGCGTACAAGTTTATGTAAAAAATAACTCGTTAACTAATGCAAGTAAGAATAAATGACAGAAATGATATATCCTCCGCTGAATAAAGCCACGTCATATCGCGCTGTTCTTCTGTGGTAAATTCCGGCTTATTCCTCAAGTCTTCTTCCAAAAACAATGAAAAGTAGATTAATCTTGATTTTTTTTTTTTTTTTTTTTTTTTTTTTTTTTTTTTTTTTTGTATCTGGGTGATGAGGGCATGCAAATATGGCTGCAGATAATGACGGGAAAGACTGTACCTCGCTTTAGTTTCATACGGATTACATAATCAGAGAATATTAGTATTCAATTTGAATTGGTTCATTTAAAAGTAGACACTTCAGGTTTTCTATAGACATATTTCTCACGTCTGTGTGTCAAGTATTTGCTGAGTTTCGGTTCGTTTTTTGTGACGCGTTTCAGAAAGAAGTTCACAGAGAGCAGAAAGCACACCCTGTTTTTTTTTTGTTTATTTTACAAAAGCACAGTTTTTTTTTTTTATTGTCAATGTGTACAAATTAAAGTAGACCCTTTATAGATCCAATTGATTTTAGTCTTTCAGTATTTTAGGTTATTTTCTCGCTTATCAGGAAAAACTGCAGGTGAACGCGTCGCCGCGCAGAGAGTTAAAGACGCTGCATTCAGATAGATGATAAATTTAGATTTCAAATTCAATATTGATTTTAGAACTGCTGAAATTATTTACAGTATGTAACGCAAATACTTTATTAGTAACTGTAATTAGATTACCTAAAAATTAACAGTAATCCCTTTCTTTACTTTTTTCAGTGGATAAGTAATTTAATTATAGTAACACATTACACCCAACACTGCTTACCACAAACATTTGAACAGTGATGGATAGATAGACAGACAGACGCAGTCTGTGCTGATTATGTGGAATGATTTTAAACAATGTAAAATGTGTTAAACAGAGCTGAGAGGACTAGACTCTTTTTCACAGAAGGAACATGCTATGTTTAGAACTTGTGAATGATCAGCTTCCCAATTCTGCAGAAACCTACAGAACAAATTCCACATGGGCCAGACCATGGTTGACCAATGCAGCTCACTGTCTCCTCTCAGCCGCCATGTCTGATCTTCATTCCCTGGGATTAATAACCATATTCTCCACTCTCATTCTTAAGAGCAGCATCCATTATCAGAAGAGATAACTAATGCATAAATACACTTAGAGCCAGGCATAAATCCATAGCATGTGAGGCTTTAAGAGATATTGCATCTTAAATTACCAATACAAGTGTCACCTAACATAAGTGTTACACTGATTTGTGGCATATGCTGGGGAGGGGAAGTCCAACATGTTATTAGTTAGATAAACCCAAATTTGTTGGGTTTTCCTGGTCTCTGACAGCTAACCAAAATGTATGTTTTCACCATTACAACTAGACCCCCCACTGCATCATTGTTCCCTACGAGAACCTCGAACCCACAAGAATGTTGGTAGCTGTCCTTCTATTAAACCTAAAGGATACATTGTGTCACATTTTACATTCATTAGGAGTGATCTTGCAGGGCCTGTTTGTACGCGCTCAATGGGGAGGCCCGCGCACAAGTGGGTTTATTTTTTAAAGGCCTTGCGTTTGGAGAATGTGGGGTAGGAATTGTGTGACTTGGCCAGGTTGCTAGTTGGCTTTGGCTCTACCTTGTTCTCTCTCAGTTTGCCTCCTTCATGAAGGTTGAGTGTAGAGTTACCCCAGCAGCCGAGCTGGGTAAATACAACACAGATCCTCAGAGAGAGAGGAATGAGGACAGGATCGATGAAGGTGGTAGTGTACCACAAACCAAGAGCAAAGATAGAATAAGAGGAGGAACTGGACAACTCATAGTAAAATAAATTACAAATTGTAACACTCAATGTGGTGGTTTTAGGAATTCCTGACTTTATAGTTAAAAGAGCCAATGCCTTAAAGGGATAGTTCACCCAAAAATTAACATTCTGCCATGTTACTCAGCTGCATGTGGTTCCAAACATTCATTCATCTTTGAAACACAAATGAAGATATTTTTAATGAAACCTAAGAAATTTCTGTTCCTCCATTGAAAGTCCATGCAACCAGAATATTGAAGCTTCAAAAAGTTTGTAAAGACATCATGAAAGTAATCCATGCTGTATGAATTGAGCAGTTTAAACCAAGAGACACATCACTTTATATGATAAACAGATTTTCAGTTTATTCACATACACTAGAAGAATCACCAGAAGTGATTTCCTTCTTGGTTCCCCAAAGACAGTTTTTAAAAGTACCATTTTTTTCATCGTTTGAAGTAGGGCTGCACGATAAATCGAAATGGAATCGAGATCGCGATACATTCAATTAATCGTGCAGCCCTACATTTTAAAAATCTAAAAGACCTCTCCACTACAAAGAACCTTTCGTGGAATGGAAAGAAATGTTCTTCATGGAACCATCAATACCAATAAAGAACCTTTATTTTTAAGAGTATAGAGCTCATCAAATATTGTAAACAGAAACTCAACTGTACAGTACTTGCTTGACATGCTGCTTATATTCACCTTCATTGTAAAGACTGCACTAGATTGGCAAATCTAACTATAATTTGCTCATAACGCTGTTTGAGGGGGTTGCCACATAGGGCCGGGGTCCCTTGTGCTGGTGGTGCAGCTAGAGGCTGTATCTAAATTACATTAACGCTGGTGCTGTATAGTCAATTTCACTAACACAAACAAATTCTAAGGGCACCTCAGAGCTTGTTTCAAACTTTGAATTTCATTCATTAGATGCATGGCGCTCTCAGAAATCCCCCTTCATCCGCTCTGACACCTTACATATGGCCTGTTTTAAGCGCCAATGCATACAGATTACATGATTTGGCATGTGGACATTAGAGTACATGTTTGTTATTCAACTAATAGTAGAAATATGTGTTTGGAAATTGTCACATATGGCAAAATGTTTCCTTGACAGATGGATTTTGTGTGTTTACAGGGTGGCAAGATTCCGATCCGATGGACCGCGCCAGAGGCCATCGCCTATCGCAAGTTCACCTCAGCCAGTGACGTATGGAGCTATGGTATTGTGTTATGGGAGGTCATGTCTTACGGAGAAAGACCTTATTGGGAGATGTCCAATCAGGATGTGAGTAGTGCGGCTGTCAGAGCAATCCAGCATCTTCCCTGCCAAAATTAATCAGTGTTACATATGTTCGATTTGATTTGAAGGCACTTTAAAAATGTCTTACATCTTTTGCAGTGTCTCGTACATGACACAGCGTTCTAAAAACGCAGCATTATAAAGAGTTTAAAAAGTTCAACTTTTAAAGGGGTCATAGGACGCCCATTTTCCACAAGTTGATGTGATTCTTTGGGGTCTTAATGAAAAGTCTGTAACATAGTTTGGTTAAAATTTCTCAATGGTAGTGTAAAAAACACCTTTTTTACCCTGTCAAAAACAGCTAATTTCAGAGCAAGCCGTTTTTGTAGCATTTTCCTTTAAATGTTAATGAGCTCTGCTGACCCCGCCCCTCTCTTCCGAGCTGCTCTCAGAGAGAGCACTTTTACTTTACTTTTACTTTACTTTACTTTACTTTAGCTGCATTCATTGTGAAACTTGCTATTTAGCACATTATTAGGAAAGGCGATTTGCAAAGATTCATTACGCTGACACCTTGCGGTTTTTTTTTTCCATTCCACTGCCCGCTTCTCACATTTTTCAAGGCTCTAAGAGGCCATTGACCCAGAACAAATTTTTTGCATTTAAAAATGCAAGATGCAAATCAGTAGAATGAAAAAAAAATCACGGTTTAGAGACATGAAACTTCTGTAACTTCTTTTTCTTGAGTGCCAAAGTTTTCAGAACCTCATGTCATGCGTAGACGCTGCAAAACTTGCAAGATGCAAGCTTAGCGGTAGAAAACGTTTGTCTAGCATGTTTACATATAAAACAGTGGAACACACAAACATGTTCTGTGTGAATGACCCTTAAGGGGCTGTTCACACAGAAGGCGTTTTTGCTTTGAAAAATGTGAGACTGCGCAGTGGAATGGGGAAAAAATGCAAGGTCTTGTTTTTTAAAAGTTGTTTTAAAAAATTTGTTTAAATTAAGCAGTGTTTTCAGAACGCTATGTCATGTGCGAGACGCTGCAAAAGACACGCGACACAATTACAACAGTCAAACATGTTCATCTCGCGCGTGTTTACATAGAAAAACAATGGAAAAGTAGAACTGTGGAATCAAAAAACACATTCTGTGTGAACGGAATAACATGGAAGTGAGTAAATTGTCCTTTCTGGGCAAACAATATAATTCAACTAGAAAAATGTTTCTTGATCAACCAGCTACCAGGCTAGTTTTGCATAGTTAGACCATTCATGATACTCTTAATGAAAAATTTTTGCTAGCTAAAGCTAGTTTCACAAAGACAGCTAACTGAACACAATGAGTACCCAACAGTGAAAATTCACAGGCCAAGAGAAACTATTATTCTATAGGTCTTACATAAAGATAAGAAAAAGAGCCATGTGTGGAATTGTGGTAAATGTGTAGTGGTTTGTTATGAAATATTGTGTTGATATTGTTATTAGTTCTTTAGCGCTGACTCTGAGCAGTGGCCTCGTTGCTGCAGTTCAGTAACTTCACCCTGAGCAAATAAGGCCCTGAGAGTTTATTTGAACTGGTTTATGGCAGTGCTGATTATCGAGTGATGAAAAGAAAAAGGGAGTAACAGTTCTGGAGCACTTATGAGGCAATTGATTTTGTGTTGTTGCATGGACGGAAGTGCTTTATTTTTATTTTATCCTACTGGATGGTCACAGTTGGCAGGCGAGAAAGAAATATGTCCTGAGGAGCTCAAAGGACAGGAAATTGAAGAAAATTCTTGCAGTGCTTCATCTTTTAAAGGAATAGTTCACCCAAAAATGGAAATTTTGACAGAATTTGCTCACCCATATGTTGTTCCGATCTTTTATTACTGTATATAATTTCTTTTCTGAAACACAAAAGGAGATGTTAAGGTGCGGTCACATTTACCATTGTTCGACAGTTTTCACAGGTGAAATCTGGCCATTTCAATAGGAATTGATGAGTGAGGGTGAAACATTTCCACACACAGAAAAATGTCCACGTTTCGCAACAGGTTCTAGATGAAAACTGCTTGGTTTGAAAGTGACCTCTGTGTGAGTTGTGCTTCATACATCATTACAGCATTTGACAAAGGACAATTAATATTTTTTTGCCTGCAAAACTTTGCTAATGTGTCCGCACCTTCAGACAGAATGGCAGAACTTCAGTTTGACTATATTTTCTTGTGTGCCTCAGGTGATAAAAGCGGTGGATGAGGGCTATCGTCTTCCCCCACCCATGGAATGCCCTGCCACACTTTACCAGCTGATGCTAGACTGCTGGCAGAAGGATCGAAACAACCGGCCGAAATTTGAGCAGATTGTCAGCATCCTGGACAAGCTCATCCGCAACCCCAGCAGTCTCAAAATCACGGCCAGCACCGCTTCCAGGTACGTCACCCAGGAGCACTGGCTCTGGACCGATCCCTAGATACTTGTTCTGATCCCAAATTGCCTTCTGCTCTTGTCTGCTTCATGTCACGTTCAGATCATCTTCTCATGCACCCTAATGAGAGGAAGTACTCTCTCTTCCTCCTGAACTCTAATTTGTATGTTAACCTCAGGTCTAGATTCATCGCAAGCTCTTACAGCTGGTCACACACAGTTATGACTGAGATGTACATGAGACCACAATATTTTCTGCAGATTATTTTTCTAGACAAGATCAGTTTATTTTTGGAGCCAGTTTGCAGAAACAGTCCTCAGACAGGTGGTGTTTGTGATAAACATTTGCTGACATCCTGTTTCTTCAGTATCCAGTATGTAGTACTAATGTTATTCAAAGTATTATACACAACGTGGTCAAAAGTTAACACCCCCTTCTGGTTAACGGGTTTGGCAAGACCCCTTGATTGCAGTGAAATCTCACGCATTACATTCTAGATTTGTGTACTTTGCGGTAACAGTTTGGGAAAGGTCCTTTTTCCTGTTCCAGCATGACAGCACCCTTGTGCGAGGTCTATTTTGAAATGGTTTGACACTTTCTGGTGTGGAAGAACTGGACTATCCTGCACAAAGTCCAGACTTGAACCCCATTGAACACCTTTGGGATGAATGCACTTTTGACCTTATTTTTATTTGTATTATAAAGCTTTTATGCATCCTGATGTTACCAGACTGCACATTCATCTTTCCAACTTAGATTTTAGAACAGGGTGTTCTTCAGGGAGTCTGCGAGCCCAAGGAAGTATGTGGCAGTACTTCACAGTGTCTGGCAATTACTATTTAATCTCAAAATAATTTGTGTGGAAAAAAATCTCTATCCTACTCTATTTTCCTCCATTGCAATAGGACTCAATTCACTAGAGGGTTCATCCGGAAAGGGTTGCCCCGTGCAGTGTGGACGTAAGTGGTATAACCAGTAGCTTTAATATTATGAAGTATGTAACAGTGACTAATGGTTTCTTAAGAAAGTGAAAATGGGTCCCAGGGAGTTAGAATGTAATTTTCCTGATTGGCTTTTAACATGGCCGATCAGGGGACCAGCACTGGGCCCAGGTGATTTATGTCTCTCCGGGCGTGACACACTCTGAGGTTCCGCTGCTGCTGATCTGCAGCCACAGCTGTGTCCAAGCCCTTGCACCTCATTTATCTACATGCCCTGCATGCTAATGGCGTGGCACTCCAGCCATTCTCATGGATGGACCCTAGGCCTAAAGGCCAGACCCGGAGAGATGGCGTGCACATGCTCGGAAGTAAAATGTCGGCACTCTCAGGACAAGAGTAGGTGTGCGATCCCAGAGCCTCCTCACAGCAAGAGATGCATTCTTGTCCGTGACGAAGCTACGCAGATGTTTCTCCATGAGGAACATCCTCCCTCCTTTCACATCCCTAGAGAACTTTAAAAACATGATACTAAGCAGCCTCAGTTATTTAGAGGTCACTACACCAGAGGGGAGAGAGGAAAGCAAAATAATAGAGAGGGAACCAGCAGAGAGGCCGAGTGTTTACCTCTCTTCTTCCTCTCCCTCTGGCCTGTTGTGCTCCTGTCGACTGACGCCTCAGATCTCTGACGCCAACATCTGATGCAGTCAAATGCAGCGTGTATACACCAGAGTTTAAGCTATCACTTCCATACCCAACAACAAAGATTTTTCTCCATATCAACTGTTTCTTTTTCACCTTGTAAGTTTTAGTAAGAATTGAGCTACACATCACAACAAACAAAAGAGGACTGGACATCTCTTGGTTTTCCTCTCTGCTTTTCTTCCCCATGTTGACCATTATAATTACAAATACAAATTATTTATCATATTAGTACATTACACAGACATTATTTAAGTAGTCATATCAGTCGGTTAATGTATTTAGTTATGAGTCATATTTTTTTCAGCATTAAACATGGCAATAAACATGTCAGTTCCTTTTTAATGAAATAATACTAAATAATAAAACCACAGATAATTATTAGGTTCTGCGGTTTGTGTGGGTGACGATTATAGCATAAATGTATGCTATAAAAAAAAAACACCAAAACAACTTTTCCCACATTTTGTGGATATAATTGGCTGTGATAAATTCCAGTCAGCACTGAAGATTCTGATTTTTTTTTTCATATATGTGTGTG